TGCAGTTCTTTCTCTAAAATGGCCTTCCTGCTGTCAGTCGGGTCTTTCATTTGTAGTATAGATTTGGTCCATGGAGCATGAATCCCATCCTCACAGACAGCTTGGCATAGTTCTTTTAAGTCTGCTGCCGGGAGGGGGTACCAAGCCAGTGGACATTGTCTTGTTATTTGTAGGTTAACAGGGAAAGCTACAGGCGGGGTTTTTGGGTCCTGAGGCCGTTGTGGCTGAGGATCCTGGGGGCAATAACTCCCATTATCCCTGAGATTACTGAGCTCTTCAATGGCTGTGGGGCATGGTGCCACAGATGGTTGTGCTGGCAGTGAAGGGGGAGGGGGATTTATCTGGGAATTTTCAGAAGTTTTTGAAGTCTGGGTTTTAACATCCAGGTTTGTTAAATCAGTCCATGAGGATTCGTAGGGGGGAAGAGGGGAGTAAAGGTTATTTTTGTTGATGGGTGTTATTTGTCTGATTTGGTCAATTTTTATTTGGGGGGCTGTTGAATCTGTTACCAGGCAATCTTCAGGATTTTTTTTCTTTATTTTTTAAGGCTGTTGAATCTGCTGTTGGGAAATCTTTAGGATCTTTTTCTTTATTTGAACCCTCCCCTTTATTATCCCCTGTTGCTAGTAAATTCTCCTCAGGCTTTGGTGGGTTTCCTAAGCATTTTTGGATGACAGCTATTATGGGGAGGAAGGAAAGGGGCAAATGGTGCCTCTCTTGGATTTCCTTCTTACCAGCCAGATAGGCAACACGGGTCCAGACCTCCGGGTTGGAAATGTCTGCCGACAGGATCCAGGGTGCGAATTGAACTACTGCATTCCAAAATTTTAAGCCTTCCTTTTGGGAAATCTTAAGTCCTCTTGATTTAAGTAGGGCTCTAAGGGAGCGAATTTGGAGGGTTTTTTGGCGTGATGCTAAATTCCCCATTATAGAAAAGAAAGGAAGTGTTGTCAGTGGTGTTCAATGTTCCCAAGGGCAGCCTGCCTGCCACCAGGGGATTGAGACGTTTTGACACTCACAAGCCTAGCTGCAGATTTAAGAAACTAGCAACCATCCTTGTGACTTTTAACTGGTTTCTGTGTTACCAGATTTTTATGAGAGTTGTAAAGGTTATTGCCTACACCCAGTCGGGCTGTCAGGGTCCAGAAAGAGGGCAGGGGGCCTTCAGCCAATATCGGGAAGTTGCCCCGACCAAGAGGCTTCAGTTGCCCACACACCGTGTCCAGACCCTTGTGAAGGCATTAACCGAAAGTAAAGCAAAGAGAGAGGCCCCCCCGCCCCCGCCCCTTTTTTTCTCATGGGGCAGGTCAATTTAAATTCTCATCAGGAAGCCTGTGGGGGTGCAGAGGACTACAGGAGAAAGCCCTCCATGTGGGGTGGTCCTCTCTGACGATCCCCTTCCCCAAGAAAAAGTTGAGGGAAAAAATGGCTTTAAAAATCTTTTTTTCCCATTTGTCTATGGCATAAGCCACCTTAAATTCTTTAAGTACTCTGTGGCCACCTGCTGCTTTAAATCCTTTGTTTTTGTTTATGTTATGGGGTACTTGGAGCCTGAGTGCCTTTTTCTCTGAGGCAGGTCAATTTAAATTCTCACCTAACTGGATTAGCTTGATCCTGAGTGCCCTGGGGGCAAAATAACAAAACACATAAGGAAGTTTGTTATCTTAAAAGTTGAATTCAATACTTGTGTGAACATCCCTTAGAACTCTGGGGATTTTTCTGTTCCTAGGGGTGTTGTCCAAGACAGAAAAGGAAAGGGGGTGAAATGCCCATTCCTAGGGGAACATGCCAGGGATTGAAAACCTAAGGCTATTCCACCTAGTCTATAGCACAAGCCTGTCTGCAAATTTAAGAGATCCATGACCAGCTCTAAGAGCAATTAACTGGTCGTTGCCTGACCGGTTTTTGCATTAGAAAGATGTATAGATGGGGGTCTTTGACTACACCTGGGTGGGCAGTTGGGGTCCGCTCAGCAGACTTAGAGTCTTTGGCTAACATCAGGGGGTAGCCCTGATCAGAAAGCCTCAATTGCTCCTTCCTCTTTAAGGGTCCCACACCGAAGGCTCAGACTGAAAATAAAAGGAAGAAAAAGATGAGAGACTCCCGATCCTCAAGGGTAGGATGACCAAGACAAAGTGGCCGCTACCCTATTGGAGAGAGGGCGTACTCACAAACACTGTGTGTACCAGGAGCATCATGTTCACTTTCCAGGTAAGTCAGGCAGAGAGCAGGAGGCCCCCGCTGGGAAAGGGAGTCCTTCCATATAGCACCCAGTCCCTTAGAGCTATCGGGACATGGAGGACTACAACCTTAGCAGCAGGGTCCCCCAACATCCCACCACATCCTTGGCTCTGAGCACAGCAACAAGGTCCAGAGCTAAAGTCCTGAGCCTCAAATCTGGAGAAGAATGAGTTACAGCACTTGACTTTCAGTATTCTTTTTTCAACCTTTTCAATATCTCAGGAGCTAACCTTCCAGAACACCAAAGCTCCAGGCTGTGAACTCTAGCTTCCCAACCTGCTCCACTCACTCCCCAAATGCCCAATTCCCAGCCTTGGAGGGTTGGAGGAGATGAAGTTAAAGTCTACAAACTCACTCCAACTGTGTAGAGCGTTACCAGAGCGGCCAAGAAGAGTACAGTCAACCTTAGGCAGAGGCCACCAGCTCTGGATCTGTGACAGGAGCCTTGTGGGATCCTAATTCGATGAGGAAAGGTGTCCTTGCACTCCGAGTGCGAAGAGGTAACCTTGAAACCTGCACTTAAAAGTGGCCTTTAACAGGGCACAGAAAAGTTCCTTGTACCCTGTACTCAAAGGTGACCCTTATATCCATGAGCAAAAGCTTTCTTGGAAAGATGGCCTCGAATCCCAAGCACAAAAGTGGCCTTGTATCCCATGGGCAAATGTTCCACTGAAACTCCTAAGTGGTTTGAACTCTGCCCACAGAGGTGACCTTGAACCTGAGGAGATGGGCGGGCGGTGCTGTGGAGACAAGATTGGTGGGCGGAGCCACAGCCTGTCCTCCTCCTCCCCCTCCTCCTCTTACCCCCACCCTTCACCAGGAGCACTGGGCGGGGCTTGTCACTGCCAGGCACCCAGACACTATGGGGAAGCTAGCGGTGCTGACTGTGCTGGGGGCCAGCCTGGCTTTAATAGGGGAGCGACTACTGAGTTTTAGGTAAGTGGGCATCTCCCTGGGGGTGTCTTCAGCTCTCTTCCTTTTCTGGTCCAAGTTAGGTCAAGGACAGGCTGCCTCCCGCTTGCTAGTAGGTGGGAAGCAGCAGCTTTGGAACCTCAATCAGATCCTCAGTCCCACCCTGTGAACTTGAGAATCAGTCCTAAGGAAAGGGGGGCAGCTGCTCGCCTTTCTAGGATGGCAGGGCAGGAATGCCCACATTGAGTTTCGAAGGTCGGGTGCCTCTCCAGGTCTCTCCCTAACTGCTTATACGGAAAAACCAAAGTCCATTGGAAGTGCTGTACTTGGGGGAGGGAACCAGACTAGCAACTGGATATTCATGGATGCCTTAGGCATTCATAAAGATCAGGCTGAAGATGAAAAGTACTGCAGAACCCAGGCCATCCTCCAAGAGGAGCCTAGAAGCAGTAAAATGAGCTGAACTCTGCAGACAGGAACCAGCACCAGTGTGGGTGCGGCAGGGACAGAGGTGTGACTTTCTGAAGAAGATCCACCAGTGGCAGCCACTCCAGAACAGACTCAGGCCAAGTCAATGTGGGCAGGAAGAACTTTTTTAAAAAGATGCTTTCCACTCCTATGTGGGCTAAGGCCTCTACTTGCCACCACTTCTCTTGGGTTGTTTTTATTCTTTCTCTAAGGAGAAGCTGGTCTCAGAGGATCTCCACTACAATCTGTTCAGATACCTGATGCCTGTTGGCAATGTTGCCAGTCCAGCTTGACAGTGTTTGTTGTTGCATTTGCTCCTCAGCCAAGTGACAGAATCCTCAAATATTAAATTAAAGGGTCATGCTGTGTGTGCTCCCCCTGCCCTCCACATGTCCCCTACAGCTAGGCAGGCAAGCTCTCTTCCATAGTGTCCCACCCCTGACCTTAAAGGGTAATTTTTTAAGTGATTAAACACTGCCTAACTGCAGTCTTATTGAATATAGTTTCATAAATATTTTAAATTATTTCTAATATTAGAAGAAGGTTTCATAGTAGAAATAAGAGCACTGTACTGAAAAATAACTTAGCTAATTGTTTAAATGGCGGTCAGTTCCATGAATGTACATATCTGTAAGCAAGTCAACATAAAGTTAAAAAGAATAAAGCTAAAGCAAAACTTACAGGGTTTAGCTCTTTGCAAACCTCATTGAAATTTGGATTTTCTATTGGATGGGTGAAGAGTCAAAAGGCGAGACTAGGGGATGAAAGGGAGGAAGTACAGATTTATAGTAAATACTTTAAAAAAGGAAATAATGGCATTTTGTGTATTTAAATGAATAATGTTGTTCAGTTCCTCATAGTATTAAGTGGTACCTTATATTTTGTATATAATCATGTTTTACTCATTCAACAATAAAAGTGAAGTTAGGTTGTATAGGCACAGTGTTTATGTAATGTCTACCTTATATGCTCTATAAGCCATAGACTTGCCTATTTATTTGCTCTGCCAGTTATAAAAGAGGACAATGAGAAGTTATCAATAGGAAAGTGACTGAAGGCCCTCTGTGTTCAGATATTGACTTGGGATGTGATACCTTGACCTCCGTGTTGGTTTCTCAGTGTTGATTTTTATCTTCTACAGAGGAAGAATGAATGCATTTCGAGAAGTGGAACCCATAGAACCTCAGAGCTGCCATCTTATTGAGGGACTTGGTATGTATGTGACAGGACCAAGGGGAGGCAGAACCATTTCTTGGCCATTGTCCCCTAGCTAAGTCTACCAAATGATTTAATTTTCTGTTAATGTCCTGGTGTGGCTTCTGACCATCACTTTGCCCAGACTACCACTACGCAAGGACTCTAAGATGCTCCACAGGTCACAGGTCGGCATCCTGGGCTTCTCAGCTGAGTCTATTTCCTTAAAGACAGTTGTCTATCATCTGATGAATTTCATTTGCATTTACTACTTCTTGGCTGATAACTGAATTCTTATTTTCTAATTCTCTCTCTCTCTCTCTCTCTCCTCTCCTCTCCTCTCCTCTCCTCTCTTCTCTTTGTTCCCCCTTTCTTGATAACTTTCCTTCATTATTCGTCAGCAAGCACCAAGAAAAGAATTTAACTTCTCATGTATCCATCAGAATCTCACAGTACCAAGATGTCTTTTAAATATATTAATCTTAAATCTGCAGCCAGATCTCCAGCTGGGTCAGGTCTTCTTTCCCTAGCACTGAAAGACCAGCTCTGCTTAGACTCAGGCTTAACTGACAGCAACTTCACACCCCTGTCATTCCCTCAGTGTTTCCTCAGCCTCCAGCCAGTTCTTGTAGACTTCCCTAAAGTGTGGCACACTGTTCTCTGGAGGCATAGTTCACAATTTGGTGGCCATTGGTTTCCCCTTTGTCCCGCTTGCTCTCCACCCGAGGCTTGCAGACAAGTTCTTCTGTGTCCACTGACCTCACCCACTTGGCACTGCCACAGTGCTTCCTGGGGCTCTGAGCCTCCAATTCCTTCTGACACTGCTGCTAGACAATAGAATAGTTTTTTCTCAGTGTCCTGGGAATCTGTTCCATCTCTTTCTCACCTTTGTTAGGACATCTGCTCCCCCATTGCTGCTCATGGAAGTCAGTCTCAAATGCATCTTTCTCCTCCAGCTCTCATAAGTTCTGAAACTCTAACTCATTCCACACCTACCACATAGTTTATATTTAAGATGGTGTTTTCTTTCATTATCAGATTATAAACTCCCTACAGTCAAGGACTATAACTTGTTTATTCATATGTGACAAGATAGGTTATTTGTGAAATTGTGTTTTATTTTTCTTACTGTATGTATTAAACACACACACACACACACACACACACATATACACAGAAAAGAAGCCCTTTTGGTATTTTGGTAACGTGGGCCTTTTGCTCCCTAATCTTTTTGGGTTTTGTGGTGTTATTATTGTTGTTTGTTTTTGAGACAGTATCTCATGTATCTAAGGCTGGCCCTGAACTTGTTATATAGCCAAGAATGAACTTGAACTTATCTTCTTGCCTCTGCCTCCCAAGTGCCAGAATTATAGAAGTGTTCCACAGACCCAGTTTATGAGGTGCTGGGAATAGAACTCAAGGCTTCCAGCTAGGCAAGCACTATTATCAGCTGAGCTGCATCCCCAGCCTTGTCCTATGCTCTTAGAAGTGGTTTGTGCTGCCAGCTAGAGAGAAGAATGAAAACAGCCTCCTCAGCAACCGTGGTATTCTAGAAACCAAAGCATTCGGGGCTTCTTCTAGGAAGGGTGAGTACATGCAGACTTCTTAGATCAGCAGAGCTCTGCCCTCTATCTCTCTGCATTCTGATAAGGGGCAAACATCAGAAGGTATCTCAAGGTATCTTCAGGGAGACTGTACATGTGCCTTGTGTGTCCCTGCTTAAACAAAGACTTTGTTTAGTGTGGGTCTCTCTTCCCTTGTGGGTCGTTGGCCACTGATCTGCAAGAACAAAGGGAGCAGAGATGACAAGCAGGGTTAGGACAGCCATGAGTATGATGGAAAAACCTTCTGGGAGTCATCTTCCGTGAGACAGCTTGTTTATTCAGGGGGTTGAAGGGAAAGATATAGGGTGAGGACAGCAGCCAAAGCTTTACCTGATAGGTGTTCATAGTATGTTTTATTTGCATGTGGCAGGAGGACCCTATCATGTAGAAAGGGGAGGTTGGATTGCCTGGCTGTAGTGCAATGCCTAATTATCATACTGAAAACCAGGGGCAGCATTTGCAAGGAACTATAGTCAAAGGTCATGTTCCAAATAAGGTCAGGCATCTGTGCTTGGAGACACTTTCCAAGTAAGGTCAGGCAGAGAGTAGGAAGCCCCTGCTGAGAAAGGGAGTCCTCCAACAGGTAAGTGGACTGTGACCTTCACGGCAGGGTTCCCCAACAGTTTAGGACAAGGACATGGCAGAACTGTCAATATTTAAAGGGGCTGCAGAGGCTTGGCAAGGGGGTAACATTCTGCTTCATTTTAAGACCACCACCCGGGATCATGGTTCAAGTCTAACAGAGATGCAGTCATAATTGAGTTTCTTATTAACCTTGTAGAGTGAGGCTCTGGGTTCAAACCCCAGGAAAGCAAACAACACACACTCTAAACAACAAAAATCAAAACATTTTTAAAGGGTCACATTTATTTAATATGAAAAATAGGGTAATGTGCCATTCGCTCACTTGTTTGCCATCTTGGGAGCTAATATTCATGCTCACTGCACATATATTTCTCAAAACATGAGCCTGCTAGGTAGCTTAGAGGGAATTAGATTAGAGGACTGCTGATGTTTAGTCCAACCCTCAAATTATGTAAGTCAACTAAATTTGAGAAACTAAAGCTAAATAGTGTAAGCCATAGGCCAATATTTTAATTATCAAGATATTTTTAATATTTAGAAGCTAGCTTAGACAGATTTAAAAAATCTGTCTAATGACATCTATCTCATGTCTCAGTATGCTTACATTTTGTGTTTGCAAAGCTGAATACATTAGACCATTCACAGGCCCTTTGCCAGTGGGATGATATTGATGTATATCAAAAAACAAAAAGCTGCCATGTCAATGGTGTATTCCTAGGAGTATCTTACTGACTCCTTACTCCTTTACACTCAGTGCAGATCTTCACAGCAGGCACAGCTATCTGTGCTTTACAGGTAGGATACTGATGCACAGAAGAATTAGGGTAGTTGCCCAATGATCCAGACCTAGACCTAGCTTACGGGCTGGGATGGTTTTCTTCTATGTCTTTGAAATCTCTGTTGTATAACACTGCCTTGCCTACTGACAACATATTTTTATTATAAAACTTTCAGAAAGTCTTATTGCAAAAGAAGATGCAAATAGAATATTACTAAATGGAGACTGACCAAAAGAAGTGAGGTAGATATTTAAATAAAAATCACTAAGAAGACACTAGTCACAAGCCCCAACTCTTGGATGGTAGAAGGTTTTATGAGGCAATGGCAGGCTAATGAAGGAGTCGTAGTTTCCTTGTTTGGGGTATTTATTTATGTGTGTATTTGGTTTCAATTGTTTAGTTTACTGGGGCTTAAACTCAGGACCTCACGCACATTTAGAGACATGTCCTACTACTGAGTTATATCTCTAGCTCATTTTAAAAAACATTTTTATTGAGTTTTTGCAAACTTCATACGGTATATTTTGATCATATTTAGACTCCACTTCCTGTATCTACACCCCTCTTATAGCCCACACCCTGCCAAATTTCATGTACTCTGTTATATATATTAAGGCCTGTCAAGTCAAATTTATGTCCCCAAATGTCCTTTGGTGTGTGGGTTTATCCACCGGAGCGGGGTTAACCTATCTAGCATCATGCCCTTAAAGAAAACCAACTCTTCCTCTCCCAGCAGTTGCCAGGAGTTCCTCAGCTAAGGTTAGAGCTTCTTCCCCATGTTCCACTTCTATGCTGGAATTCTGTCTGGATTAAATTTGCATGAGTCTTGTGCATACTGTTACCATTTCCAGCTTATTTTTTTACTTTTTATTATTTTGAGATAAGGTCTTGCTAAATTTCTCAGGCTAGCCTTGAACTTGTATAGCCCTGTCATGCTCTGAACTTGTAGTGTGTTTGTCTGAGTCCTGCAAGTAAATGAGATTAAAGGCCTGTCCTACTGGGCCCAACTAAAACAAGACTCTTGAGGTTAATTTTTATTGGTGGAAGAAACTTCTTTTTTCTATGCTTATCTTCAGTAATATAGGCCCCCTCCCCCACACATATACTCCTCCTCTTCCTCCTCCTCTCCTTCTTTGGTTTGGCTGATATAGAGTCTTGCTAGATAACCCTGACTGGCCCTCAACTCATGGACAACCTTCTGCCTCAGATTCCTAGTGCTGGGATTATAAATGTGCTCCCCAGTATTCTTACAGGAAAAATTGAAAGACAAAAATATGTCTTCCTTCAAAAATGCTACCTCATTTTTTTCCCTTTTGTGCTAACTTTGTCTTTTTTCCAAGGTTGTGAGGATTGGAAATTATTTATTATTATTTGGCTTCCCTTGGTATCTAATCAAGGGTGCTCTTGAAGTGTGACTTAGCTGTGTTAGAACTTTGCATGGGTGGGATTATCAAGCTGACAGCGTTTGTAGTTCGTGTCTTCCAGTTTTTCTCTCCTATAACTTGGCTGTCTCTAAGATGTGCTTTTACTCTGTGATGAATTCCAGTTGTTTACTTAGCTGGCAGCCAGAAACTTTTCTCCAAAGTGAAATGATAACAGTAAAATTACACAAAGTTCTGAAGTGACACTTTCTTAGGGTACTTACAGAGAATGATTGAAGAAAGGAAGAAATTATTAAAGAAATGACAAGTAACAGTAAGTTTGGCAGCTTAAAAAGCAGTAGGTACTTCTCCATAAGAGAACTGTGGGAGAGGGTTTTGATGATGGCTCTGTGCAGGCTAAGGAGTGTGTGGGAGGACCCAGAGAAGGGGTCCTGTGGCTCTTACTACCACAAGTTTCCAACTTGTAGAGATGCCCCGGGTTTGTCAAGTAGATGCCATGTGAACAGGTGTGTGGGAAGGTGAAAATGCTCTATAACCAGATGATGATGCTTTTCCATTTCTGATTGCAAAGAACCAGCTGCTCTGTGCACAGAACCACTGAAAACTAGGTTTCTGAGACAGGGTAATGTCCCTCACAGGAGATACGTAAAATGGTATTTGGCAACCAGAGACCACAGAGCTCAGAATATCTTGTACAGTAATTCAGCAAAGAGTTGAATTAGAATGGGGTTATGGTCTGACAAACCTACTATAAGTTGAAAATACTGTAAATCAAAAATGCATGTCATGTACCTAACTCATGGAACATTTATAGGTTAGATAGCCAGGACACTGCAGAAGTCCATTGTTTCCTCTCAGCCCTTTATTGCCAAGGGTCAGCCTCAAAAGAGTATATTGTAAAGTGTGTCGATAGCCTGAGGAAATATCAGAATTCAGAATCTAGGGTAACATTTTTTGTGAATGTGTTTTGCTTTTGTGCCATGGGAAAACTGAGAAATTCTAATTTAAACCATCATAAACTGGGGAACATTTCAGATATTAATTCTCATTATCACTTAATATCAAAATGAGACAAAGTTCAGTTAACTAAAGTGGTTATTGACTAAGTCAACTAGGTTGCCCTGAGAGCTTCAACAATGAGAAGGTGAATATTGTGCAGAATACAAGCATACAACATGAAATAAAACCCAGGCCTTGTTCTCAGGAAGCCTCTCTTCCAGTAGAAAATTAACAAGTGAACACAGGACATTGTGGAAAATGTCCTGGTGGAGACACCCACAGGCAGTCATATTTGCACATAAAAAATTGACACTAAAACCAGAGGGTTTAGAAAACCCAAAGCAGTGACCACATGCTCATCCCAAGAGACTGTGATTTTAGCCTGGAGATAAGGATGTAAGGGAAAGAGCTGAGCACACTGGGAGGAGAGAACAGTATGTAAATACACATGTAGGTAAATGACTGGCTTGATTCGTAAGCTATTCAAAGAAGCACCAAAGCACAATGGGAATGGAGCATGGGAAAGGATGCAGGGAACCAACTAGGGCCAAGGTGTGGAGGGCTTTGGATCTAGAGCAAGGAGCAGGAGAGCTGCACTCCCAGCTCTGGTGGGCCTCTGGAAGGCCTTCGTAGGGGAGTGACAAGGTCAGTGGGGCAGTTTAGGAGGATGACTGTCAACAAAGACAGTGGGTTAGGGGCAAAACTGAGCAGTTGGGAAGTTCCAGTGCTTGCATGATAAGTAACTGGTAGATTTGGAGATTAAAGAAAAGTTGGGGGGCATCAAAGGTAGCTCCAAATTCCCTGATTTGGGTACTTGAAGGTAAGTGGCATTCATTCACATTGAAAGATAGGAAAGATAAAAGGGAGAAAATTCTTGAACTATGAGTAACCGGATAGAAATCTTTAGTGTGCAGGTGTCTGCAGAAGTCTGAACTTGAGAGAATGACTTGATGTAGAGATCAGAGAATCAAGAGCATGTGGGTGGAAAGTGGAAACTGAGAACAGGACTTGGGTGCCACCATCATTAACAACATGCAAAGGCAGACAGAGCCTTATTCCATATGCAGAACAGAGTGGAAAATAAAGGTGCAGGAAACCAAGGAGTAGTGAGCAGATGAGAGGAGGGGTACACAGAGGAGGAAGAGTTACTAGAGAAGCAACAATCCTATGATACTAAATTTCACTTTAATCGATGTGTTAGGTTCACCGCCTTGTGTATATCACTCCATGTGGAAATAGCGTTTGATCTTTGAAGCCATTTGGGTACTGTACATAGGTACATCTCTATTACCAGAATACTTGGGAAATGGGATACTCTGGTTGATTTTAGTTTTAATATTACTAGTCAGGAGTTAGTTCCAATCTTAAGTGTAGTGAATAAGGTTAAACCTTCCTCTGTTTCCTTGACTTCAATGCCTGTTGCTCACCATTCTGTGGGTTCAAATTTACATTTTCTTTGGCTTTGTCTTGCCTTTTCTTTTCCACATCCTCCTCTATGTTCCCCCAGTTGCCTAGTGATGACCTAGTGACTCATTTCCCAAGCTGACCATTTCCCATATGTTCCAGTTACTATGGCTATGTGACAGACTGCCCCATACTTAGTGACTTAAAACAGCAAGGTTGAACATGGTAAGTCCAGCATTCAGGAAACTGAGGCAAGAGGATCCTAAATTCAAGAATATGTTGGACTCTGACTCAAAACAAGCAAGAAAATCCCAGTCATTTTTCTCATAGCTTCTCAATTTTGGTAGAGGTCAGTGAAGAAAGTCTGTGTATTCTATTTGTGCTGGCAAAGGTGACTCAGAGACTGATAACTAGCCCTCTGGGATCCTCTGGTTGTTTTCTCCTCCTTTTGTGTTTGCTACATTCAGTGCTCTGAGGCTTTGAATAACCAGACTCCTGTATTTCATTTCTGGGCTCCCAAGGTGCATGCTGAAGGGAGGAGAGGAGAGAGAGAGGGTGAGGGAAGGAGACAGGGAGGAGAGAAAGAGGGAAGGGATGACAGACAAAAGGAGAAAGAGATGGAGGGAGGGAGAGAGAACATCAAGGGCAGCTACAGCTATGACATTTTACCTTAGAAGTCACATGGCATTATATTCATCCCATTCCATTTATCAAGGCTATTTCAAAAGTCTACCCAGGCTCAATGGAAAAGAATAGAGACTATGTCCTGATGGAAAAGTATGTATATTAGTCAGGGTTCTCCAAAGAAACAGAGCCAGTAGAATGAATATATATGTATAAGGATTTATCAGCTTAGCTCACAAGATAGAGTCCCAGTAGTCAAACAATGGCTGCACCACAATGGAAAGGCTGAGACTCCATAATCGCTCAGTCCATGAGGCTGGATGTCTCAGTAGTGCCAATCTGGTGCTGAAGGTCTGATGAATTCCAAAAGATCAGCTAGTCTTCAGTCTACAGCAGCAAGATGAACTCACCAGCAAGAGAGAAGGCAAGCAGCAAAAAGCAAAAGATTGTTCTCCTCTGCCATGGCCTTTTATATGGCTGCCATCAGAAGGTAACACCCACATTTAGGGTGTGTCTTCCAGCTTCAAATGATCCAATCAAGAAGATCTCTTTCATTTCAGTTAATCCCAGATCAAATTGACACCCAGGATTAGCTATCACAATGTGAATATCATATCTTAAGAGGAGCATGTGGCTAAGGTTTGACAGTTTTAGAACACAGTTTGCCACATTAGATCACCATTGCCTTTAGAATCAGTCCTGCTCCCATGTCTTACATGGATCTCTCTCCCTACTGTGGACCATCCTGTCTCCATCAAATTTTACTTGTTATACACTTCTTTCCAAAGAAAAATAGTCAAGACCAACTCTCAAAGAGGAAGTGATCTGATTCAGCTCTTTGTACTTCATTTGTTCTCATTAGTCTGTCTCAAGACTGCTTATTTTTATCACAGGGAACACTTACTCAATAATTTCCCAATGTGATTGTATAATGATATATTTTGAAGCTCAACCAGTTGTAGAGTGAGAAACACTTGGCAGAGAAGCTTCTGAGCCTCACATGATGACTTCCTGAACTTTCTCATTCAATATGAAGAACAGATTTCTATAGGGAATAGCACTGACTTTCTCAGTATGTGCCCTGGAATTATTATTATGTAAAAGTTAAATCTATGAGTGTGTTTTTACATATTTTTTCCCTTTTTCTTCTGAAAATGGAATTCTAAAAAGAATTTAATATTTGAGGAGTCTGACTCAGATGTTCTTATAGAGTAGCTATGCTAATGAGATTCCTGAAAATTAATATAGTTTCCCAAGTAAATGGTTGAAATAGTTAATGCAGTTTCCAGAAGAGGTTCAAAATCTAGGCTCTTGGACTTGTTGTTTTAAAGCTTCATATATGCATCTTTGTGATTTGTTTTTTTTTCGTTTTGTTTTTGCTTTGCAGAGAATGGCTCTGAAGATATTGATATACTTCCTAGTGGGCTGGCTTTTATCTCCACTGTGAGTATTTTTGACCCCTCTGAGGCTCACATCAATAGCTGTATAGACAGTGCATTAAAGTTGCCAGCTACAGCTGACAGATGGACCCCTACATGCTCATCCCATCTCTGGGTAGACCCATCAACTACAAAAGCCAAACTGCAATCTGGAGGGCTAATTAGAGCACCGCAGGCATGCCTAGCTCTGACTGCCCCATGTGGGCAATTCCCTGTGGCCAGCTGCATGCTTGGCGAGAGTCTCAGTAAATGTGTATTGATGTCCATTTCACTCCCAGACTGATCTCCAAATCTGTCCTGTTGCTGTTCATCTTCATCATTACCTTATTGGGTGGGACTTCAGTTTCTGGTAGTCATTTTCTCACTAGCCAGTGTTCTTGCTCTGTCTGCTTGTGTGTGGTGCTCTGTAAATGTTAATGGGTCTGATGTTAATCATGTGACTGGATTCAAAACTCTCAGCACATTCCCTTTTGGACTCCCTCCTAGTCCTGTGTTCTTCCAAGCATAGAGAAGAACCTGTATTTTGTTCTCAAAACCACCTTGACAAGTTTTAGATGATCAGGAAGTTATACTGCAGGGCAAAAATCAACAAGCAAAATAACTGTGTGTTTGTGACATGTGGAAAATTGCCATGTGTTTATCAAGCCAGTCACATATTGGAATAGGGTCTAACATTTTGGTGGCTGGTTTTGTTTGCATGATTGGGCATCAAACCCAGAGCCTTGTGCGTATCCATCCACTGAGCTAAACTCCTAGCATAGGGTCTAAGATTTCAGTAAAGTGGACTTACCACACTTTTAATGTGATTTTGTTGTTGTTGTTGTTGTTGTTGTTGTTGTTGCAAGATATGAATAATATTCCATTTTGGCCATTGAAATACAATCAAACTATATGAATTTTAAGTCTATATATTTTCAGCCAAAAATAAGACACTGGTAGCAAGCATGGCCTGACTTTCCAGGTTCTTAAGTGTGCACAGTAGAATCCAATGAAGCTCTCTCTTGAATTTTAAATGGGGGGAGGAGTAGGATTTTCTTTCTTTACTTTTCTTCTAAAATCAAAGATAAAACAAAACTGTCTGGAAGTGTTTTGTTTTTTTTTTTCCTTGACCTCAATTTTTCTATTGTCAGGTTTGATTCAGTCCTATGACTAGACCTTCCAAGATGGTTATTCTGCATACTTAGTAGATGTCTTTGCTCTTAGGAAACAGTATTTGTCATTCCTACAGTCTGCTCCCCCCGCCTCCCATTTTCATGGTAGCAGAGGTTCAGAGCTATTGCTAAACAGAAAGAAGACCTTTCAGGCCAAGGCCTGCTTGAGAGATGTCAGCATCCAGTCTCTTTTCATCCTTTTGAACTAATGATTTCTGTTTGGAGCTCAGGATTGCATTCTTCTATTTATTTCCAATCTTTCTGCACGCAAGATCTTGCTCTCCCTAGACAATGTTTGGAAGTTGCAGATCAGACAGTAATTCTATGCAAATAGATATTTTTAGTCTTTTGGAGGTGCCAGAGGCTATTTTCTTCCCTGCCTTGGGACTTGGCATACTTCTTTTTGTCTGCAGGATTACTCCCTTCCTCATACTTTGCTAATTCACTTCTGTTTTTTGGTGAAGCCTCCCTGAAGAGACACGCAGCTTTCTCAGCAAGTCTCTCCTGGTGCTGTTGCTGGGCTATGCATAGTATATACACCACCCTATCTGGTTATGCCCTCACTGCTCTATCATGGGACTTCAAGTTCCTTCAGTCTAGGACTTGGGTGTGTTCACTGATATGCACAGTATCTGGCACACCACTAAGCATATGCCGGCACCAAAGTGCGCACTAAGGACTGCAAGTAAATGAGGGCTGTGGAAGGTTTCAATGAATATCCACAATATGGGCAATCTACTGGGAGAAAATCAGAAGCCTGCACTTCCAGTGACTGTCTCCATTTCCATTAGTGGGTGGTAGGAATGAAACAGCCTACTATTACCAGCCCACAGTAGGATTGCTGTCACCAAGGACTAACCTAACAGAATGCCTTGAATAGGCACCTAGACCAGTTAATTCATTATCACTCCTAATATAAGCTGTTTGTTTGTAGTGTCATACTTTTGCCTTCATCAAATCTTTTCTACATCTGGAATATCCAGTCTTTCCCTTAAACTGATAGCACCTTAACTGTGTCTGTGATTGCAAAGTACTTGTGAAGATGTTCTGCCTTGAACTACCTCCCCCTTCTTTTCTTTATGGTGTGGCAGGAGGCTGTGCAGTGAATGATCAACATTCTGCCTCTACAGTTTGTAGGGGAAACTGCTTTCTGTACTTCATTTCCTGTATGAAAAGGAAGGCTGGGACTAGATGCCCCTGACATTTTCTCCCATAATGTTGCTATTCTCTGAGTCAATAAACTTGGTGACAGATTGGCTATAGGGAAAGAGTGGACCTGAGAACTGAATTTTATGGCTTGATAGAAGAATATTTCCCTTGACTGAGAAGAATAGACGTCCATGAGAGGGAGGAGCTGGGGGTTGCATGCTAACTTTGGCTGTTGACAAGCTGACTCAAAGCTAACCTTAGGAGGAACTTGGGAATATAAGCAGGGGTACCAGAGACAGGTTATACATATTGGAGAGTCAGGGGTATGGAGGAAATACCTGAAGCTTTATGAAAGAGAACTCCCTGGAAAGAGCACAGAGTGAGAGGGGAGGAGATGAATGAAGGCAGAAGAAAAATCCAAGAGGCAGGAATGGAAGCAGGTCTTGTATCTCAAAACTCTACTTCTGACTTTCTGGCATGAAGGAAGGGGGCATCATGAAGAGTCCAGGACTCCAGAGCATAAGATAGAGGAAGACAGGAGGGTTTTCAAGACTCTTATAAGACCTTTGTAGGTATGTTTCTACAAACTGCAGAGGTAGAATGTTGATTCCAGAGAAACGAGAGTTGGAGTAAGTCAGGTGATATAAGAAATTTCAAGCAAAGCAAAGAGAGATAAATACTTATTTGAAGTAAGTTAAGGAAAGATTTGTTTCAAAGAATGAGAAATATGAGTAAAATTTCAGGCCAAAGAAGAAGCCATTGGTGAACAATAAGTAATTAAATAAGAATGGGAGGTCTTATAGATCAAGGAACCAGAATAAATAGTGACAGAGTCAACAGGAGATCAGAAGAGGGACATTTCTTCTTCAAGAAAAGAGGAAGAAATGAAGAGAATGGGTAAAACTGAAGGATCATTCATGGAAAGGAGTTTGAGGAAATTCACATTGATTGCCATGGTCTTTCCAGAGAAGTACGAGATAAACCCATCATTCAGAGTAAAGAGGAATGTGATGTGGACACTGGGAGATGGTACAGAGCATTAGGGTACTTAAATGGAAAAATAGAATGGATTGTCTGTGAGAATGAACAAGAGATCCAGTGAGCAACATTAACTATCCAGATGAAGTTGGGATGATGCATTTATACTTTCAATGTGATTTTATATGCCTCTCACTTTTTCCTGATAACCATCATAGCATATATAATGATGTCTAACTATAGTTTTAAACATATTTTTATTAATTCTTTGAAAATTTTATGCAAATATTTTGATCATATTCACCCTTCCCTCATCCCCTAACTCCAACCAGATCTCCCCTTCCCTTCCCCATTCTTCCCAACTTCCTGTTCTCTCTTTTTCTTAATAACCCAGAGTCTGATTTGTGCTGCCTACATATTCCTGGTGTGGAGCTATCCACTGGGGCATGGTTGACCTACCAGTGGTCACACTTTTAAAGAAAATTGACTTTCTCTCCCATAGGAGCCATCAACTGTCAATAGCAATTCAGTTAGGGGTGAAGGCTGATGAGTCCCTCTCCCTCCATACTGAAATACTGATTGACTTGATCTTGTGTAGGTCTTGTGCAGGCAACCACAGTTGCTCTGAGTAAATAAGTGGAGCAGTTCTGTCAGGTCCAGAAGATACTATTTCACTCCTGTCCTCCCTGACCTCTGACTCTTACGATCACTATGCCCCCTCTTCTTTGATGGTCTCTGAGCATTTGATGGGGGAAATGATATAGATGTCTGATTTGTGACCGTAGGTGCCCACCTTTTTTAGTGGTAAGTCAGAGCAAAGAGAGCATCTGATAGAGAAGCAAAGGGTGTGGCTTCTTTAGAGATAGTCTTTACTTGGTGGGGACAGAAGCTGGGAGTCAGGGTACTATCCATCCCTACTCCAGGCATGGTGAATAAGGAAGATTAAAGAGTGAATGACACTCTTCTTATGGCTTCAGAGGCCTCTTCTGGACAGCATGGAGCACACAGTTTGGATCAGGATAATTTTAAGAAAGACTTGAAGATGTAGATTGAGACACGCAGAGGATATTGACCACCTTAAGGTCAGGGCAATGGAAGGACCAAGAAGTGTGTGAATTGCAAGGGTAATAGCAGGAAGAGGAACAGGGAGAGAAGGTAAAATGTGTGGTGGTGGTGTACGCTTTAATCCCAGCATTCGGGAGGCAGAGGCAGGCAGATCTCTGTGAGTTCGAGGCCAGCCTGGTCTCCATAGTGAATCCAGGACAGCTGGGGCTACAGGGAGACACTGTCTCAAAAAGACCAAAAAAAAAAGAAAGGAGAAGTTTAATTTAGCTATCGATGGAGAAGACTGGAGAAGAAAGAAGGTGGTCCATGTTGATATATATAAGAGTGCTTGGTGTAGAAAAAACCAACCCCAAGGTTTAACACAATGAACTAGTATGTAGCAAAGATTCAATAGATTTGGAGTGTCTACTGCTTGTTGATGAATACTTCATAGTACATTCCAAAGCACTGCAAATGAGCTTTTGTAGTATTTGGAAAAAAAGGTTCATATCAAAGTTTTCAGACATATAAGAACAAAAAATAGGTCAGAAATCTTTGTGATGCTGGCACCCAGTGCTAACCTTCAGCTGATACTATTTATGGCTATATAATACAATCATTGGAAGAATAACAGCAATAGAATTAAACCGCACACTCATTCTCCATGATTTGAGGGAAAAAATTACAGAATATTAGGACTGGAAAGAATCTTAGCATTCATAGATTTCAACTGTTTCATGTCATAGAAGAGGACCCAAGGCAGTGGCAGACTAAGGGAGCCTCACAGAATAATACAGCTTGGTCCTGACGTTGTAATGTGTGGCTTGACTTTTTCTAAATTAAAATGATTCCTTATCTCAAGCATGGCTCTGTATTCACAACCAAGGCTTGGGTGACATCAGTGACCACCTCAGTTTAGATAATTGCCATGGTTGACAGAGTGAAAAATCCCCCAAATTCAAATGAAATGCAGAACCTGGAACATTTTTGTTTGACTTTGAGATTTTGGCTTCCATACGAAAATGTCGTTTTAATATGCATATGTGTATAGACTGATTCTCTATTTTTAAAGGGATTAAAATATCCAGGCATGCCAAACTTTGCACCAGATGAACTAGGAAAAATCTTCCTGATGGATCTGAATGAACAAAACCCAAAAGCACAAGCACTCAACATTAGTGACGGATTTGACAGAGAATCATTTAATCCACATGGGATCAGTACTTTCATCGACAAAGGTAAAAACCTAATGACTAAGAATAAGGGGAAATGAGGGGAAAGAGAAGTCACTCCTTCCCTATTACCCAAGATGGAAAGGATATTCTACCAAAGAAATGTATGCAGCATTTGTTAAATATTAAGTATGTACAAAAGCCTTTTAAAATATTAAAGAAGACTACTATGGGCCTAAGTGGCTTCCTCCTGTTCCTTCTACCTACTTTTTGTCACATTTGACTATCACAACCTGTTTAAATACTGTTCTGAGACATCTAACATAAATTAAAGGTCTTTTAAAAATAACTGTATAACATTCAAAAGTATACCATAAGGGGAAAATAGAAAAATTGGACTCATGGAAATTCATAACAAAAAACCACTACCAAGAAAGGGAAAAAGTCCAAAGAATGCCACACTAATATTTGCAAAATGATGTGTCTGATTAAGAGCTTGCATTTAGAATATATACGTGAATCTTGCAACTCAACATCAGAAAGACAAGCAGCCCAATTAAAAGTGGTCAGATACCCGAACAGACTATTCTGCTACAATATAAGTATGTTAAAAGATGTTTGACAGTTTTACTTATTCGTGAAATGCAAATCAAGTCAAAACAAGTTACTTCTTCATGTCCATGAAATTAACAATATTAAAAGAGAAAAGGGGCTGGAGAGATGGCTGAGTGGGTAAGAGCATTTGTTCTGCGAGCATGGGGACCTGAAGTTGAATCCTCAGCACCCACATGAAAAGTTGGGTGTGGCTGGCTATCTATTTCTGTAACTCCAGCATTGGATGGCAAAAGCAAGTGGATCCCGAAAGTTTGCTGGCCAGCCAGCCTAAGCCAAAATGGCAAGCTTCCAGTTTAGTGAGAGACCCTGTCTCTAGTTACTAAGAGAAAGCGATAGAGGAAAATACTCAATATCCTGCTCTGACCACCACATACTTGAGTATGCATACACCTGCACACTCAAGTACACCCACCACACATACACAACACACACAACACAACACACACACAGACATACACACACACACACACACACACACACACACACACCCCACAAGACAAGCAATAACAAATGTAAACAAGGATGTGGAGAAATTGAAGCCACTTTGCTGGTGACATTGTGGAATGGTAGAGTTACTGTGGAAAGCAGCCTGGCAGCTCCTCAAAGTGCCAAACATGGTTCTACTTTGTGATGTGTGAGCAAGAGAACTGGAAACGCATCCGTACCAATACGTCTACACAAATTACACAAATTTTTGTAGCAGCATTCCCCCTAGTAACTACATGCCCATAAACTGATGAGCAGGGAACACAGTTACAAATAGAGCATCATTTGGCAATAATGAACTATGAATGCATGCTATGACACAGATGCACCTTGGAAATGCTGTGCTAGATGAAATAATTCAGTCACTGAAGGTCACATATTGGTTGTTCCATCTGCATGAAGTATTCTGAACAGACGATTTATAGACAAAAGTAGATTAGTCTGGGAGGGGAGGGGGATGAGGAGTAGCAGCTAAATGACATGTCATTTCTTTGGGGGATGGTGAAAATATTCTGAAACTAGATAGTTGCACCTATTGCACAACCCCAGGAGTGTACTACAACTCACTAAATTTTACATTTTATATGACTGAATTGACTGTCATGTGATTCATATCTCAAGAAACTATCCAAGAAGCAAAGAATATATATATATAGATAG